TGTAATCATTGCAAACACCTGCACCTGGCTCAAGCCAGCAATCTGAGCTGGCATTTGCTTTTTCTTTTTTTAATTAAAATATATTTCTATATATAGAGTTTTATTTTTATATATATATTATATACACACACACACACATCCTCTATCACAAGCTTTCCATTCTTGCCTCTCCACCCAGGCTGGATGGGATGCCTGGCTGGAGCCCTGGGTACCAGGCCAGCTCCAGGGCAGGGACAGGGGGACCTGCCTGCTGCTGAGGGCTGCTAGGACTGGAGACTTTGGGCCTCCAGCAAAAGCAAGATCTCCCACCACAACGCCATACCCACCCCCAGAGGCACAGAGCACCCCCACACTTTTCCTGGCCCCGTCTCAGGAGCCCGCAGCAGGACAATACCTGCCTCACGATGTTTCCCGGAGCGCTGCCTACCTGCCATCCTGCTGAGGTGCGAGGACCTGCTGATGCCTAATCGGGCCCAGGCTCGGTGCCACGACATGCCAGCTTGGAGCGCATTGAGCTGGCAGGGCTCATCTCCACAGGCAAGCCCGCCAGGAGGACTAGCGACCGGTTGCCATTCACCTCCTCAGCGCACGCTTCTAGCGCGGTACAAGCGCCTGCTCTCATGTCGCTGAGGGAGAGTCCTCAGTACCTGAAGGAGCTCATCGCAGCTCGAATGCCCGCACATAGACTTACGCCGAGGCAGCTCAGCCTGGCTCCACAAGGAAAGCAAGCCCTAAGGAAGCCGGGGTGAAGTGCTGGGCTTTCCCCTGCAGCAGGAGCTCAGCACCATCCACAGCTGCCGCTTCATTTCGGAGCGTTACCTCAGCTGCTGCTTAATTGCCTTTTCAAACCCCCGGTTGCTAAGGTCAAGCTCCACAAGCTGAAACGTCCTGGGCCTAGGTTTTCCTCACATCGCCTGCGATTTTTCTCTCCCTCTTTGTAAGGTTTCAGATCTGCCGGTTATTTCGTCCCTCTGCAAACAGCGATGGGATCATCCAGGTACAGGAGGCGCCTGCGTTATCTGGAAAAAAAATAAAAATATAAAAGAGGCGACTGGAGTTCAATCAACAGTAGCACCTCCCCTTGCCTCAGCTGCTCTCCCTGCCTCAAAATCCAGACCTTTCAGTGGCTTCTCCCACCGTCTCAAAAGCAACCGGGCTCCCTGCCCTGCCATGTTCAGACACGTGAAGGGAGTGGTTGAACCACGCAGCAAACAGCGTCTCCGGTCCAGGTAACGCCTGACCAACAAGTTCTGCTCAGGACTGTCATCATGACGGAGAAGGAATCATTGATGCACTAATTACCTTGCACTGCTAGTGGTTATGCTCTAGCATAGAGCACGTGCAAGGTTCGTGCAAGGTAATCATGCTCTAGCACCACCTCATCCCAAACCAGTTCATGGGTGGACTCTGTCCCAAGTCCCACATCCCAACATTAGGCAGCTGTGTTTCCTTTCCAGCTCATAATGTAAGGGGAAATACGTTACATCCATCGGTCAGAGATGAAAAGGGATTTGGGTTCTGTCCCTATGCACAGGCCTGAGGCTATGGATATGGAATAAGAAGATAGACTAGTTTGCCTTTAAAAAAAAAAAAAAATAGCCAGAATATTTTTCTTGTACGTCAGGAAGATCAAAGACGATTCATTCAGTCTTAACAGGATTGATTTAGTATCGCTGCGAGAGCACATCAGAATGGCTCCTCCCCCCTCCAGGCTCATGTCATAGAAAACCCAGAGTTTAAGGGAAATTGCGCTTACACAAGACAGAAACCGCTTAGCATTTATGTTGATTCCGTACTACAACTCCACGCATTAACAACAAGCCTCGACAGTACACAGGTGGCAGGGAGCATTTCAGGCCCATTAAACGCTGCAAATTTCCTCATGCATCACAATTACAGAAGACATATGCCAAATAACATTATACTGAACCACGGCTAAATTCGCAGTGTTCAATGGCCCTCAAAATTTCTCATTTCTTTACCTGAGGTGGCCAAGCAATTATAAGTCGTACCACAGAATAAAACAGGCAGGGAAGTCGGTAGACTTCATGCATCTATGATTGTATCGTCCTCCTCCATTTCTCTTCATCTGCAATCTACAGTGCAACTGAGCCTCTGAATAGCTACAGCTGCAAATCCAGCGCTCCCCAAGATCCAAATACTGTCACCCTAACAGACATGGCACAATTTATTTATATATATCAAACCAGCTACATAATGAAATCTGGGAGACGCTTTGTGTTGTGCCAGTCTCATAACCTGGTGTCCAAGACTTAGCCAAGGAAGCACATATTGGGCAATCACAGAAAACCTTAAGAGAAAGTCAATTCATTCAGCTCATGCCCTTTGCCTCCCAAGATCCTTCAAATATGAATTACTTAAGGCCTAAAGCTGCACGTAATATTCTCTTTATTTCCATATACACAAAATAAAACATGTTTTTCCAGCCAGGTATCTTGTCATTTCTGAAGGAAGGGGAAAGCATGCATAAAAGCAAAAGTAATGTAACAAATTACAGTACTTCCAAAACCAGAATTATTATGTAAAAAGAGGAGTTAGAAATACAAAAGGTGAAGCAGGCCATCATGATGTCCAAATGTTGCCTAGGTGCCCAACAGGGGACCAGTACATCGGGGAGATGGAAAGTGCACGTGCAGAGTGTGCGCACGTGCTGGTCAAGCCAATATTCAAACACCTATTTGCCTGCAGCTTTGCAAATGTCTATCTATTTTCACCAGTGCTGTCCAACGAACCTCGTGCAGCTTCAGTTCGGGAATATTTTTCTCCTTCCAAAAGACTGTTCAATTACCAAAAAAAAAATTAATGAACAACATTTCTTTTGTGTTGCTTTTCCATGAAGGCAGACACTGATAGGGACTGTTCATATACCATAAACAGAGGCTCAATCATTGTTCATCTTGATGCCTGAAAATGCTTTTAAAAGCTGAATTGCTATCAGCTTCTTCTCTATTGAAATTTTGATAGGCTATACTTTCCCATGGGAAAAAAAAAATCCTGTGATTTAGTTAAGATGGCTTCACCAAAAATATAGAACAATGGTTTTAGAGAGAGAGAGCTCTTCTTCCTAGCATTTCTCAGGCAGCCCAACACGGGCAGAAAGAAGAGTGGAAAACTTTTCCCATTGTGATTAAAGGTAACTCCATTCTGTTTGAAGAATTTAATGGATTCCCACTGACAGTGGCTCTGCCAATCATTTTGGGTAAAAAAAATTGGAAGTCTCCTGGTCTTCCAGAAATAGATGTTTGACTAATTTCCAACTGAGTTTTTTCACACATTCAAGGTTTTTAACCTCAGCCAATAAGGATGTCAATTGTTTTGTATAGACCCTTGAAATGCGGCACTATTGTGTTCACTTGTATATCTGGAGTCACAGTCATGCACATCAGCTGATAGTTCATTTGAGCCCTGCAAGTACATTAGCTGAAGTTTTACACATTAGGGAAGAAAAAAAAAAAAAAAAGATCAAGCAAGATAGTGCCCAATGATCAAGACAACCATTTTTAGAAAGCTTCCTGGATCATTTATGCCAGCTTTAAACTGACTGCAATTCCAGTTCAGTTTTCAAATTATGGGGCTGGGAAGAAATTTCCCTCTTTGGATCAGACCAGCAGAGGCCTTCCTATTGCCCAAATATTTCAACCTGCAGACATGGATCTTCTGGTACAAAATTATGCTCTGCACACAATGTACTAGCTAGATGGAGTTTGTCCAGGGTGTGAAGGAGCGTTAGATATAGGAAGACTTTATATAAAATAGAATATAAATCTGATCTAGTTTTCCTAGGTCAGCAGAAAATCCAACCAAGTCTAAACACGTGTTGGCTGTGCACAATATACCAAGTTAAACACAATCTTTGACCTAAGCACTTGGCCTTACAGTTTGGGCAGGTTGCACTGGGAAATCCAGAGACTAGCAGAATTTAAGGATTTGTTTTCCATTGTTTTGACCTCTATTTGAATAACGAGAGACCTCAGACAAGAGCCCTTTAATTCTATAATAACAATTAATTTCATCTCATAGGCTCACTGAATCTGGCATCATAAACTGGGTACAAGGATGCAAAGGTATCCTATCCAAAGCCTCCACTCAACTGGGCTACTTTCCAAGGACCCAATTCTGATATGTGATGCACACCTCCAGTTTCCATTAAACAGACTTCATATTAGTGTGCTTCAAGACTAACACCACATTCTAATTCAAGGGCAGAAAACTTGTGCTTTCTTAAGCACAGAAGGGAACCTGATAAAGCTGGAAATAAGGCCTTTGCATTTATAATTTAATAATCAATAAATATGATGGCTAGTTTTAAACTGTAAGTGCCAGTGCAGCCAATTGACTTAACAGTACTAAACTATCCAGGTATTTTGATTTAAATTATCTATTGTAAAGTTAGCAGCGTGACTTTTAGAATGCCGTCTCAAGAGCTGAATAAGACATCCTACCTTGGTATTCTGAACAGTACGTTTTCTACATCTTATATAAAGTCTTAATGCTAATTCAAACTAGCATGTACCCGCAGTCTCAGAATGAGCTATTTTTAAATGAGAGGGCTTGCAAGTTTTTATCTTCTTTAAATCATAGGTGCATACAACAGCCATGATTGCTCTCACATGACCAACACATTCTGTCTAAATGAATATTTATTAAAATATATACCAGATGTACACACTTCTGGCATTTGTGGGTATCTACCAACATTGGAAATATTGAGCCACAAGCGTAAAGATACTATGCATCCTTGTAATTACAAGTATTTATAATTTAAATAAGGAAACATCATCTACAGAGTGGTGCACATTAGGTATATTAAGGAGTACTGATCTGGAATCAATTTATGCCAAACCCTAGCAATTCTCTTTGAGACGGCATGTACCAAATATTATCAATTTAAAAGTACTTACCCATATCCATGTTGTAATTGCAATCTGCAAATGCAGATACTAGTAAATAGTAAGATACTTACTATGACATGTATTCAAGCATGATTTTACTTTATTAGCTATTGCTCATTGCAGAAAAAAGTAATATTCGTGGATTTACAAATTGATATATGGAGATTTGTTGTGCAAACCTTTACAATTCTGTGGCACTAGTGCTGCTAAAATAAACATAGCAAAAATTCATAGGTGCTTAAAGAATAGGTTTATTGACAATATTTTCACAAATAAACATTCTAAAGAAAATTTCAGAAATCTCTAAACTTAGAAATGTTGTTCTCATTGGCAAAGTATTCCCAAAAACCAACAAAAAGGTAAGATGTCACTAATTTTTTACGTCATTATATTTGACACTTTCCTAATTCCAACACCTTGGTTCAGTCCTTTAATTTTTATGATACACATTCAACCCTTCTGCACAATGAAAATTAAGTTGATAAGGTATGATTTTTCCTTTTGTCTGGGGAACACTAATCAATTGTTTGTTTTGGCAAGCATCTCCTGGATTATGTCCTCTGTTTGCTTTAAACGTGATGGGTAAAATCAGTAAGTAGTACATTACCTTATAAATATACAAACTGAGCCAAATTATTCAAAAAATGTATTTCCCAAAAATGATACATATAAAGCATACTGTCTAGTAGCAGAAACTATTAGCATGCATTTTAGAGGTCTTTTTTTTTTAGTTCAGGTATGTGAACTTAAAACTAAAAAGGGAGTTTTATATTTTGATAAAAATGTACTCGAATATTTTATAACATTAATATTTATTGCTTTATATGAATACTGTATTGAAAGCCCAAGCATTCAGTTTACACACAGAAATTATACAATTATATACCGTTTCACAATGGCAGTGAGCACTTGTTACAATCTACAAAAAATCTACTTTACAGAAATTTAAAAATTCTAAATATCAAAAAGGTACAATTGAAGAAACAGGTATAAATTTGGCAGCCAGTAATTGTGACTGGGAGGTTGCAACTTGCACGTCTTTAAATATGGGAATTTGAAAATATTGCGAGTTTAAAGCAGTAGTTGTGCTTTGAGCTAGTTTGAAAAAAAAATGTAACACTGGCTGTCAAAGTAGCATGTTCAAAAATATTTAGTTCACTTCCAAAACGTTATACAAATTATGGTGATATCTATGCACCCCAAAAACTTTAGTCATTTAGCTCAGGTACATAACTAAGGTAATATATTAATTCTCCCAATCCAGTGGTGTATCATACCAATGCCATTTGCATACTTTAGAATAAATTTTAAAGAAACTTTCCTATAATATTCACAATGCTCAGAGAACTCAAAAAGGCAAGTACCTGTCCAATTTTTCAGAGATTCTCATCAGATTTGCAAACATTCCTTCTACAAAATTTAAGCTAAAGTTTTGATTACTTTGTTCTTAACAAAAAAAAGCGCATTTTCTCATAAATAAATGAAATCCTCTCACACAGGCACCTCAGAAGTATATAAAAGCGTTGTCGTCTGAAGTTCTCTTGGAATGTGTCTAACCTGGTACTTTCAATGTTAAGATTCCCAGGGTTTCACATGGGCCAGATTTTATTCTACATATTCACAGGCAAATGAAACTGCTCTGAGGTGAATGCAGTCTTTTCCCATAGAAAAAGTATTCATTGTATTTAGTTTATAGAAACAGAAAAATATAACATTTCCCCCATTACAATTGTGGGAGGATAAATGTGTATGTGTGTGTAAAATGTAACGCATTAAACATACAACTTAAGGTTTCATAGCATGTATTCAAATAAAACTCTGGAAACCATCATGGAACCCTATAATTCACATGTTAATGTTTAAAGTGTAACCAAAATATGGAGCAACTGCTATAGCTGTCAGAAAGAGACAAGACAAAAAGCTTTCTTGCATACATACAACTAAGTGTGGTAATCTCCAAAAAAGTCGTCAAAATTATAATTACCTTCCAGTTTAAAAACTTTTATTCTAAATAAAAAAAACTATACACAAACCACTGATTTGACCAGACCGAAAATTCAGCGGTAAGCAGGACCTGAATGAGCTGGTATTCACAGTTCTTAACATGTACAACTCGTTCAGGGTTCAATCCATGGAGTTTATTTTACAACCTGCTTCTCTTGTAAAACTAAAGGTCCACTTTATTACATAAAATTATTTATACAGTGTAAAACCAGAGCCTTATGGAAAATACTGCATCTAAGTGTATTTAAATTATTAGTCTTGCTCCATAGGTTCTTCTGTGGCTTCGTCGCTGTTTTCCATAGGGGTCTCTGATGAAATTTCAGGAGTTCCACTGGCAAAGGATCCTAAGTCTTCAGTTTCACTGCAGTCAGCTCCACTACTGACAGAGCCACTATTTTCACTGTCTTCAGAATGCAAATCTTTCTCTGCTTGAGACTGATCAGATTCCTCCATTTGATTACTCTCCTCAGAGGTCTCTTCATTCACAGTTAAGGATTCAGTGTCTTTTTCTTGATCTTTTCTGTCTGGCGCAACATTTCTTGGTGACATGAAGGATTCTGAAAGCATTGAAATTGAAGTCTTAGTATTCTTTTTAAACAAGACAACAACTATATTCGATTAGTTTGAAACCCTAGATATTACACTAGGAAAAAGATTATTCTATTATAAAAATTTAGAAAAACAAATTAGAGAGTCTTGAGCATCTTAAATACTTTTCTTTAAAAAATTACCAAAGCCACTAGACCCTAACGTAAAGCATTACTTCACTCACCACACTCAATATTTTTAAACACTTAGTCTAAAAATTAAATATTGGTATACTGTATATACCAAAGCCTAAAATGACAAATTGCCTTTTCTTACCACCTCACATATCTTTTCCGAAAGTAGCAACTCCCCTACATGTTAGTTTTTAGAACACTATTGTTTTAAACAAAGCACACTTCAAAAGTTTAACCTACTATTTACTTTATGAATAAACGCAAACCCTGAAGACAGAAGTTGAGAAAGGAAGTGAAAGAGAATTGATATCAATGTTGTTTCTTCTAGAGAAGAAACTCTCTCTCTCTACTTTGTACCGGTGCTGTTTATCAGGACTCTTTGTTTAGTACTTTGAATTACCATACAAATGTGATTCTTGGATCAAAATTCTAGCAAGATTTGAGAGTTAAAGTGTTGAGTGACACTCGGTTTCAAAGACAAAGAGCAGGACTTAACATCTACTTTGCATTATTTTTAAGCACTACACTGACAGCACAATACTGACCACCTGATCCAAGAAGGAAGGTCAGAAAGCAGAACATCGGGAAACAACTGGTGGCTCACTGGACGCATCTGCAGTGTCTGGGTGTCCACCTGGTTGAGACTCCCACCCCAATGCTGCAGCCTCACTAACCATCCAGGGCTCTGGGCTTCTTCCCCTGGCTTCTATTTCCTGCACCCACAGCATAGTGCAGTGCATGGTGCCGGGGGAACCTGTATGTAATGCAGCAGGCGAAGGGGAGCCATCCCTGTGCATGCTGCACCGTGGGAAGCTGCAGCTCCTGTTATGCAGCCCCTGCTATTATGGTCCAGGGGAACGTGGCCGTCAGCCACTTTGAAGTTGGAGAGCCTTGCTTAAAGAATTCCCACATTCAGAAAAAAGTAACATTTCACATGTTATACAAGTAAATCAAATACCTTCCTCTTCATCCTCTGCACAATGCTGTCTGACACAACTAGGATCTTTTTCTTTATCCTGAGATGTAGGAGATGTTCCAGTCTCTTCTACCATGACCGAAGAAACTTCACTGGAGGCAGTTTGGTTGGATGTCTCTCTAGCTTCCCCTTCCTTGTCAAACTTAAGTCTTTTTACTTCGTGTCCTTCTGCTTCCACAGGATCATCTTCAGGATGTTTATTTTTAACAGGGCTAGCTTGAACACTGTCTGATTCACATGCTGGTGACTCCCTACGATAACAAAAGAAGCCATGACTTGCTACAAGAAAGTTCCAGGTCATATCATATCTAGAACTACCTATTCCAGGCAAAGGAAACAGCACTGGAGGTATTTTTTCACAGGACACTCCCAACTCTGTAGAATTCAACCTACTGGTGCCAGCTCAGCTTGGCTAAATTTTCAGCAATGAGACAAAAGCTGTTCTTTTTCTCCCAAGATCTAAGAAGTGTGGAAGGACTAGGCCAGGGGTTCCCAAACTGTGGTACATGTACCCCTGGGGGTATGCAAGACATCTCTGGGGGTTACACAGGAGAAACTGCAGAATGACAGATTTAATTTTCATTATAGTAATAATTGGCATTTAAGGAGTTAAAATATTATGTATGCTGGTAGGGGTACACAGGCAGCTGGTAAATCTGGAAGGGGATACGCAATAAAAAAAAATTGGGAACCTCTGGACTAGGCTGTTGTCTGATGGGTCCAAACCACACATTCTTGCAATAGGTTTGTTACTGTCTATTTGTGACAAACATAAATTTAAAACGTTATACTGGTATTAGCATCTGGAAGTATATAAACATGGACACTTACAAGCATTACCTTTAGACTGCCCTAACCAAGATTATGGCGACCTAAATGCTCAGGCGTGCAAGCATTCACAGGGTTTAAGTCACCCTAAAAATGGCATGCCCAACCTAAGGTTAGTTCTTGTCCAAGGTGAACTTTAGACTGGCAAGGGGTTAATGCAACTTAGCGAGGATTTAATCCAGCCTGTGAACGTGTACAAGCATTCACTAGCATAGCCCTGAAACTGGGAAACTGCAGCCACTCTCCAGAGCCCCAGGGCTTGTGCTGTTTTTATACCCTTCCCCACCAACCCTGACTGGACTATTTTTAACTCCCACAACCTGTCCACCCCTGGAACAGGCAGCACCTCTGTGGACCCACCACCCCTCTCCTCACTGACTGACTTGCCTGGAGGAGGTGCAGGCAGCCAGAGGCAAGCAACACATGTTTGCATGAGCCACTCACATGAATGCCTGTTCACACCCTCAGGATTTGTTAACAGTTCATTGTTTACTCTTCACACACTTTATACTACACATCCTCATGCCTTTAAAAGATCTGGGTTACTCTAAATGTATAAAGCAAGCCAAGCCAGACAGAATTATGCCAAAAAAGGTTACAGTCCAATATCTCTGTTGCATTCACATGCTAGACTGATAGATGTACAAACAGCGGTAAGTACATGGTATATAGACATGTGGGTATTTGCCTCAGTTCTTCTGAAACGTGTGATTAACGGATACTGAGCAAAATAAAAAAAACTTGCTTTAAATTTTTTGTATAGAATTTTAAGTGAAAAAGCATGAAAATAATTACATCTCTACATTTATCACCAACCTGTGGTTTTTTTCTTCTGCTTCCTGTAAGTTTGACTCTTTATGTTCTGTGCTGTCCGGCAATCCATTTGTCGTCATAGGAGCTGACAAGGAAACCTTCGGTCGATTTACTGGTCTGGGAGTTCCAGGACCATTTATGTTAGATCTTAAACAAAAAAAAAAAAGAAATGTATCCCTTTAGCAAAGTAATTTCTTACACATAGGCTAAGATTAGATACATTCTAGTTTCAGAGAATCTGAAACATGCTAATACATTTTAGTTGCCAAAAGCTGCATTATTCAACATGCAACATACAGAACATTCCATCTTTATATGAACTGGATAAAAAAAAAATCTGAATCAGTAAGCAGGATGCTGCCATACATTGTGGGAAGTTCTCTTGCTAGTTACTTCCAAAACTAGAGAAGATTTCTACATCCTACTGCTCCCCTCCAAAATAAGCACATTGATTCTCAATACTACTAAACTTACCTGTCTGAATAACCAGGTGAATTTCCTGGAAACATTACACCATTCATCCTGTTTAAACTATTGGAATTATTTTTCCTACAAGAAATCAAAAAGTTATATTTAGCAATATAATAAATCATGAGCTATTAAGACTTTTTAAGTCTCTTTAATTAAAATAGCATAAACAGGGTATATTTTCTGAATTTATTTTACAGCTAAGCTGACTTAAATAATTGGAGCCTCTACTTCAGTGCATTGTCATCTCTCTCATGATGAGAGTATCTTCCTTAAAATCCTCATGTTCCCTTTAAACAGGAGGCTAATCACATGCATAAATCTTTGCTGAACTGTAGCTTCAAAGATTAAGCGCGACAGAAACCATTTCTTTGTGGCCCGAGTAAAATTCAAGTGTAACCATGACATTTATGCGAAAGATAACCCCTTTCTTCCCCAAAACTTCATTGAAAGTGAACTCCTCCCTTTCAATCTCCTCTTTATGGGAACAGGGGATTACCCACAGAACTGCTTTTCCAGGCCTCCAAGCAAGAACACATTCAGATCTTACCACTTTGTGATGACTTTCAATTCTCCACAGCCATGCCTTCAGATGAGGCATTAGAGAAGCTCCTTCCTGAATTTTGCCTAAATCATTCTTATTAATGTTGTTATGGGGAAATTTGGATGCAGTTGAGAAAAGTACTACTCTAGGCCCAGAAAGACGGACTGAGCTAGCAGATACCGGGGACACTCCATTTTTAGACAGCACTCTACAGTCAAATCACTTTTCCCTCTGTGACAATGATATATATTAAAATGCTAGAACTTTGAATCCTTCAACTCCCCCTTCATTTTCTCTAGGCCCAATCTAATGTTGCAATCTTTAATGCACTCAGACTTAAAGCTTATCTATGCAACAAACACCTGGCTGGGGTCATCTGACCCCAGCACTTTCCTGCCCAGGGCAGAGGGTCAGACTCAATCTACTGAGGTCCCTTCCAACCCTAAAAATCTATGAAAGCTACTGCATGCAACAAGCTGCCATGTAACTTTAAAGTACAAGCTATTGCAGAGTAGCTCTTAGCAAGGTCTCTCTTAATTGGTACTAACTGGCACTTCTTTATGTTTTACCTGAATCTATTTCCAAAGTGACCTAGAATTAGACAGAGGTACTCCTGGTGCTGAAAAGAGGCTACTCAGGGAGCTATTTTGCTTACATAGGAATATATAGCTATCGCATGTCTATAAGATAGGTGTACATTGCAGCTGGAAAGTATATCCAAGTAGACAAACTGAGCTACTTTGAATTTAGTAAGCTTACGTATCAACAGCAGTGAAGCCAAGGCAGCACACACTTTAGCAGGCCACTAAGGACCTAGGTATCTACTCAAGTGGTTAGCCTGTGTTGAAGCATGGACCACTGCATCTTCCTGCTATTTTTAACCACTGTATCCAGATTAAACCTGTAGGTGTTGCATTCAAGTCCCAGCTGGAGCGCGCCCATACCTTTACTACTATAATGTAAAGCAACATGAGGTACTGGAGAACAATAATTTGGACAGCCCTGAGAATAATATGACAGGAGAGATGGAATTACTCTTTAAACTATTAAAGCTGTGGAAGACATGAAACTAGATTCCCTTGCCCTCATCTCAAATTAATTGCATCAGTTGTGAAGTGCAAATTATGCCAGTCTAAAAACAAGCAATGACACAGATTTATCAGAATATTTATTATTTTAAGAAGTCAGTTGTGCTATATATTTGGATTATGAAACTTGTTCTTCACTCCCAAGTTACTAGAGGGGTAAAACAAGCAACATGCACAACAGAATTTGTTTACTACTTGTTTAACCCACTGATAATAGTAGCTAAATTTTTGTCATGCATGTCTTACTGTTGGCAAGGTAATATAACACTACTGCCAGCAAAAGAGAACACAAAACAGACAAAAGCCCACTAATATAAACCTAAAGTCTATAGTTGAAAGAAAAGTCCGCACTTACTCTGAAGATGGATACACACAGCTGACAACCATGACATTCTACAACAAAAAACATATTGTCAGTTTAGAAAAAAGAAAAAGGTAACATTTCTGATCCTGAAAGGGGCTCTAAACTTGAGGATTAATAATACATGAGAGCCAGTCCTATTCACTAAAGCATTCCTCCAAACTTTAAGACCAAAACTGAGCTGCAGTAAAAAAACAAATCTCAAACAATTAAGCCACCCAAAAGACTCTGAACAGTCTAAATTAGTTGGTTGTTTACTGCTGGGAGTCTATATCATAAATGGCATTATATCTTCTACGAACAACAGTTGGAGTGTCAAGGACTGACTAAGAACAGTGACAGACCTAGCCCAGAGTTCATGTTTTTTAGTCAGAGGTATGTTTTATAACTTTTTTTTTTTTGCATTCGTTTAATCTTTTAAAGAGCAAACCATGTTTTGAGCAGTAATGAAGCTAACAAAAGTCATTTAGCTACTATACAAAGAGTGTGCTGCAACTTAGCTGTGATGCATCTGAAGACAAACATACCTTTTCCACTCCTCTGAGAAACTTGTCAGTTCCTGTATAATTCCGTCTTGGATCTGTCAGCAACTCACAGAGCCGCTGAATAGTAAAGGGAATACTGCAATAAAATACATTTAAAACAGTTAAGTTTGCATACTGCAGGTTAAAGATTGTGAGGGAGAAACAGCATTACTGTTTCCCCTGTGGGCTAAAAAGGTTTCAACCAGTACTGAAAGTTTCTGGAAAGTTAGTGGTGACAATCAGGATAGCTGTAACTAGTTACGTATTTCTCATTTGTATATGCAGTTAGCAAATTAGAGCAGTTTTACCAACAAAACAGTGTGTAATAAGACACCATCCCAAAAGTCACACATTTTTAAGGCTACTCTAGTAAGGAACAGGCAGAATTCAATTCAGGAAACAAAGTCAGTAACAGTAGCTGTTTAAGATTATATTTATTGGATAGTACATAAAAAGTAGAACAGTTTCAAGCTTCACATGCTACTAAGACTTCAAAACAAGAAGTGGCTCTCAAACTGTAGTTATTTTGATCATACAATGTGTCTTTATAATAAATGCTTTAAGTTTTTAATTAGTACACCAGGTAAAAACTTTAATGGTTATAAATACCATTTTTTAATATATTCCATTTTCCTCATCCAAATGTAAACATCCCAAGTATAATTACTATTTCTGATGTCTTCAAGTATATACAAACAAACAAGCATGCTAACCCTCTACACAAATATGTCCATATACATGCAGTCTCTATTCAGCAATTCTGCACTTGACTTCATATCTAGTCAAATATTAGCTACAGCAAATTAAATATACTGCACATACGCAATGTCTAATAAGTACTCATACATTTACAAATTTAATGTTAGCCGATCTCCTTGTAAGGGCTGCCAGGTAACATTTATTGCATATCAACTTACAGTAGATCTATTTTGTTGCCCAATTTTCTAGAAGTTCTGTGCTACTAGAATGCTTATCTGAGTTTGAAATCATTACACCTGGAAAAAAATGAAGCTAGTAGACAGTGTTTCATAATTCTTATTCTTCAGGTTGTATATTTTCAATATGAGAAATATAAAAGACTCCCAAATGAAGAGTTTACATCGGTTGTGTCAATGTAAATACATTCAACTTGGTCCTACATTTGATGTTCGCAACAGTGAAACAAAAGTATCAGTTTCCCAAAATGATGGTAATTTAATAAACTTGAGTGTGCAATAAAGAAACTATTCCACAAGGTGAGAGAAAGAAGCCTATTTCATTAAATTTTTTTTTTCAAACACATCTGACCAACTCTTCACCAAAAATATAGGGACTTGGAAGAAACATCTGCAACCTATGTGATCAGTCACTGGCATAAACCCTACTGGAAGGCCCTAATGGCTCAATATGTTTCATAACAATGGAAAGAAAGCATCACCCACTGTGCTGTGCCGATGCTTCATTGTATTATGGTACAGTATTATGGTTCAGTGAAGGGAGTATAAACCTTAATGTAAAACCACTAACAGGTATACTGCAATACAAGCCTACAATAGAAATGTTCACCTGCATTTCCAACCTACCTCCAAATGCCTCAGACAGTACAGCTAGCAAACAGTAATGCTGATCAATAAGTATCTACTACGATCATACACCCAAATCATGACATATAGAACCTGTTCTTTATTTCACTCCTGAGGAACAAAAGCAGACTGTCAGACTCGGCAAATTATTCTTTGTGGATCTGAGCCAGTTCTAGGGGGTTAGCCTTAAGCGCCTACAAATGATAGCATAATACACATAAGGCTTGCTAAAGCAGTGATCCAGCAACAACACACAAACATTTCCAGAACAGATATTCACTTTTGTGTAAAAGAGCAAGTGAGAAAGTTAGCAATTTAATGAATGTTCTGATTTTGAGATAAAAAGATATTTCC